ACATCACAATGCAATACCACTGGGCATTCACCATAATGGCTAGGTAGGAAATGGCAGGCAATGCCCAGGGTTGGCAACCAGCCCCTCACACGCTGTAAGTCGGTACAGCCTTTCTGGAAACCTAATTGACAGTATCCACTAAAGCTGAACATATGCAAACTATGATCTAGCATTCCCACTTTTGGTGTATACCCAACAGAGACGTATGCATATGGCACCCAAAGATATGTACCAGAGTGTTTGTGGCTGTGCTATTCATTTCAGGCCAAATTGGAAACCACTCAAATGGCCATTACCAATAAAATGGATGAAAAGTGAGGTATATTAACATGATGGAATGCTATATTTTGATGAGGACAAGTGAGCCATACCTGCGTGCTACATTCCGGGTGAATTTTACAAATGTGGTGTTGCACCACAGAGCACATACATATATGGTTCCAGTTCTGTAAAGTTCCCAAATAGGCAAGATAAATCTATGTCAGGTTGAGGGTGCTTCTGGCATTCTGATAATGCTCTACTAGATGTGGGTGCTAGTCAGGTGGGTGGGCTCGGTTAAGCTGCATGCTTGGGATGGCTGCACTTTTCTCTATGCATGAAATTCTTCAACCAAAAGTGGAAACTAAATCCAGTGATTTTTCATCTCAAACGCCAGTCTCTGGACTATGGGGTTCTGTTCTTACCCACACATTTTGTATGCAATGTCTTTCCATCCATTCTCCAATCTACTGCCTATCCACCATGCTCATCCACCCATTTGACCATCTATCACGATCTGCATGACAGTCCCTTCACCTACCCACCCTCACATCTGTTTATTCATCCATCCTCTAATCCAGAGGTCAGCAAACTACAGTCTGTAGGCCAAATCCAGCCTGCCACTTGTTTGTAAATAAAGCTTCACTGGGATATAACCACACCCGTTTGTTTATGTACTGTCTATGGCTGCCTTCATGCTCCAGTTACAGAGTTGAGTAGTTGCTACAGAAACTTGATGTTTTGCAAAGCCTGAAATATTATCTGACGCTTTCAAGAAAAAGTTTGCCAACCTCTGCTCTAATTCATCTATCCACTCATTCCATCCCACTCCATCTCACCCTGTCCCATCCCACCCCATCCCACTCCATCCCATCCCATCCCATTCCACCCCATCCCACTCCACCCCATCCCACTCCATCGCACCCCACCCCATCTCATCCCATCCCATCCCACTCCATGCCATCCCACTCCATCCCATCCCACCCCATCTCATTCCATCCAACCTCATCCCACTCCAATCCACCCCACCCCACCCCATCCCACCTCATCTTCTCTTACTCACTTAAGACATTGCTCCAACAATCCTTCCTTGTCTCTTATGTATCAGTATCTCTATCAGACCATTCTTGTTGACACAAAGTGTCTTAATTTATGCTCACCCTACTAAAAAAAAAATTGTTCATACGTGCCCCATGAGGTACCCTTGCGATCAAGGTCACCATGACCTCCGTGTCTCTGAATCCAGGGGCCCACAGACTCCATTGTGCTTGATCTGTTGGCAGCGTTTGGTGCTGACGATTGCTGCCTCCTCCCGGACACACTCTCCTCAGGGGGCTTCTTGACCCCCTACTCTCCCAGTGCTTCTCACCTCATTGGCCACCTCATCCTGATCTCCTGGCTGGTTCCTTCTCGTCTCCCCCATCAGTAAGTGTGGGAGTTGCCCCATCTCCTCTTTCTATGCACACTCACCCCTGTGGGGTCCCACCCAGTTACCACGTGCCAACAACCCCAGCATGGAGCTCTTCCCTGGAACCAGACCCACACGTCCACTGGCCTCCACTCATTTCCACTTGGATGTTAGCAGGCTTCCCCACTCTACGACGTTCAAAACAAAACCTCTGAGCACAGGACTGTTAAGCTAGATGTGAAAAAAACAAACAACTGAATCTCTATATGTTTGGAAATTAAGCTATTTATACCTCCAGATAATCCATGGATAAAATAAAAAATCACAGTGGAAATTGGAAAACAGTTTGACTGCATAATATTGAAAATTTATTATGTCCAAACTGTGGGATGCAGCTAAAGCCTTGCTTGGAGGGAAATGCATACTTTAGGGAAAAAAAGGAAGAAAGTGGGAATGTAAAATGGTGCAGCTGCCATGGAAAACAATATGGAGGTAACTCCAAAAATTAAACACAATTACCATATGATCCAGCAATTCCACGTCTGGGCATGAACCCCAAAGAACTGAAAGCAGGGACTCGAGCAGATATTTGCTCACCCGTGTTCATGATAGCATTATTCACAACAGCCGAAAGATGGAGACAACCCAGCTGTCTGGGAACACGTGAACAGACAAACAAACTGTGGCCTATCTGTACAATGGAATATTATTCAACCCTAAAAAGGAGGGGAATTCTGACAGATGCTGTAATATGGACTAACATTTAGGACCTTATGCTAATTGAATTAAGCCAGACACAAAAAGACAAAGATTCCACTTATCTGAGGTCTCTAGTGTAGTCAGATTCACAGAGACAGAAAGTAGAATGGTGGGGGCCAGGGTCTGGGGGAGGTGGATGGGGGGGGTCACTGTTTAATGGGGACAGAGTTTCAGTTGGGGAGGATGAGAAAGTTCTGGAGATGGATGGTGGTGATGGTTGCACACCAGTGTGAATGTGCTTAATGCCACTGAACTGCATACTTAAAAATGGTTAAAGTGGTGCATTTTATGTTATGTGTATTTTACCACAATTTTTAAAAAAGTAAAAAAAGAAATGAAACAAAAGAAGGCTGCCAATCAATGAGCTAAGCACACATCTCAGAAAATTAGATGAGCCACAAACCCAGAGACCTGAAAAGCAAAGGAATAATAAATACATCAACTAATGAAATAGAAGTCAAAATATTAGAGAGGATCAACAGGCGACCGGCATCCGAAATGAAAAGGGTCATCACTTCAGGGTGACCAACTCGGGACTTCCTCGGATCTTGCACCTGAAGTACTGGGTCTCAAACCCCTCCACACCCAGGGACAGGTGGTCACCATGCTTCAGATGCTCAGACATCCAAAGGACAGTAAGAAGATATTAGGAACAACTTCTCCCAGTAAATTTGAAAATTTAGATCTAATGGATAAATTCCTAGAAAAATACCATTAATTAAAACCTAACCAAAAGAAATAGTCTGAAAAGTCCCATAGCTTTAGAGAAACGGGGTCCAGAATCACACATCCTCTCTCACTAGGCTTCCCCCCAGGGCTCCTCTGCAGCAGCCTGCTTCCTCTGCCCTGGGTCCCGACCATCTGAGAATCCAGTTCTGGGGGGGAGGGGGCGGTGCTGGCGTTCTGGGACACTGTGCAGAGGTCGAGGAGAGTGCAGAGGAGAGCAGCCACGCTGGCTGGAGGGAGCGGGGCGTCCAGAGCTTCTCCAGGCATGGGAGCATGTTCAGAGGCCCCCCATCCTCAAGCCACACCTTGCCCCCGCCCCTCAGCTTCCGTGTCTGTAGCTGGAGGGGCTGGGGATCCCTCTGGCCCTGCCGCCCCTGTCTGGACTGGGCTATCTGGGCATCTTGTGGCGCCCGCCTGCCTGCTCCCTCTGGTGTAATTGCTCCGAGATCTCAATCACCACAGTGCAAATAACAGGTGTTGGTGGGGCAGGCAGAGCGGACCTCGCCAGGGCTCCGCGGGGCCGTCAGATGACAGTCTCTGGTGGGCAGCAGGAGTTTGGGCGAGAAGCATCCACGAGTCACGCGTGCCACGCACCAATGACCACTGCCAGAGGTCAGCACCATCCCGGGGTTCTCCCTCAAACCAGCCCGTAACCATAGCAACTTGCTTCAACCCTTGAGCCTCGGTTTTCCTGAATCCAAAGGGATGACAGAATTCTCACAGGAGGGCAGGGATGCCGGGCTGAAAGTGTCTGGGAAATTGCAATGTGCAAGCCCTTCCTCCCTCCCTCCACTGTTGGTCAGCCCCACACTCAGACCCTCAGAGAGCTGAGACCCCATCAGAGCTGGACAGAGAAAGTCACCCCCCCACCAGGGCCGCCTCCTCTGTGTTGTTGCATCACCTGATTCAAATACCCCGCCCTTGCCACGCTCTGTCCTGTGTGGGCATGTGTGTGTGTGTGCATGCATGTGCATGTGTGCATGTGTGCGGTGACTCCACCATGTTATTTAGTCTCCTGGCACCAACCGTGGGCAATTGCCCTTCTCTGGTGACCTGTGTTGCTCAGATAGGGCCACGTCAACCCTCTACAGTGTGGTTTCGAGGTCCTAAGATCTGGGTTAATAAGCGACTCTGAGTCAGCTGGTGCACCAAGGGTCACGGGGCTCCCTGAGGGATCCACTGGGGTGGGGACTGCCTGGCTGTGGTGGCTGGAGCCAGGTGATGGCCGGGTGGGCCCACCTAAGGGGGTGGGGTCGCAGGGCTGGGCAGGGGGTTGGATCTGGGAAGTAGGGAGTGAAGGGCAGAGGGGCCTCTGGGATAATTCCCAGTCGTTATTACTATAGTTGTTGTTATGCAGATGGGCAGGAGGAAGAAATACAGAGCTAGAACCTCTGGGCTCACAGGATAGACAGAGGGATGGACCACACCCGCCACCAAGCTCAGAGATGGCAAACACCTCTCCAGGGCAGCTCCCAGGGGCCCCCACACTCTGCCAGAAAAAGCAGTCAACTATATCCCAGAACAGCAGTGTTGGGGGTCGTCTGGACCCTGTCACCCACAACATGCAGGGCAAAGGGGCCTGCCCACCTGAGCTCCACATGGAGTCAGGGAGCCTGGGCTGGGGCTCAGGTCTCCGGGGCCCCTGTTCAGTCTCTCCCCAGGTTCTGGTCCCGAGTTAGTCTGCACTTGTGTGTGTGTGTGTGTGCATGCTCATGCTGACCACGTGAGCACGCAGAAAGTGCCCCTCGCAGCCCGGGAGGCGTGGCCTCTCTCAGCAGGGTCCCTTCCCTCCCAAGGTGCCCATGAGGCCTCTCTCAGGAGGGTGCTGGAGGACAGCCATTCCACTGACCTGGATCACAGCGTCCAGCCCCAGCCGGGACTGCTCCGCGGCGTCCCCAGCGCCAGGTTCGCTGGAGGCAGAACTCATCTCGGGCCGGAGCACGAGCACGGGACCGCAGAGAAAGCCAGGGCTTGGCTGCCAGGTGCGTTTCCTCCTGGGACCCTGGCCAGGCCAGGTCCTTCAGTGCACAGGCCCCACACCTGTGTGGTACCTGGCTCCCTGTCTTGGGCACCCAGCTGCCCCCTCTGGCTTGGCGAGACCTCATGGCCAACCGAGCCCCTAGGCGTTGCTGTGGCAACCGCGACGCTGAGGGCTGGGTTTCCTTGGAAACAGGAGTGCAGGCCTTTGTTTCCATGGGGACAAAGGAACGCGGTTGGCTGGAAGCCGTTTCCTGGGAGAAGGGGAGACGCCCTGGGCAAAGCCGTCCACCTGAGTGATCACACCCCTGGAGGGGTTGGCCTTTCCCTCACGCCCCCCACACCTGCGGGGAAGAGCCCTGGCCTGCCATTGGCAGTCACCCCGGGAGAAGTTGTGTGCTTGTTGGCCACACACCAGGTGGAGGTGGTGTGCAGAACGCCAGTTCCTCCTAATCTGTAATCACAAACTACGAGGTTTTTTTCTAACATTTGGAAAAGAACTTAGATATCAATAATGCAATGGCATGAAGCAGATGGGTAGACTGAGGCCAGGAGAGGGGAAGCCACCTGCCCAAGGACCAAAGGAGGCCCCCCATCTTCCTGACCTTGCACGTGGACGTGGCTCTAGAATCTGATTTCCCTCTGGAGCCCTTTCACGGTAACCTACTCTGTGGACAATGCTTTCCACACTTGCTGTGTGAAATCCATTTCCTCTCACTCACTGAACCTTCCTGGAGCGACATAAAGGACCGTTTGGGACACTCCCAGCTCACCGTTGGGGTGGGGGGGCCCGGTCCTGATGGATGGGTGAAACGAGGGGAGGCAGTGGGGGCTGTCCCTGCAGACACAGCCTGGGCCTCCTGGGGGCTCTGGACTGAGCCTGGCACTGGGCACTCAGCCATGTGGAGCCCTCTTTCCACTCCACTCAGGGGCTCCTCATTCCAAGCCGGACCTCTCCCGACCAGGCTGATGCCCACAGGAGTTCCTCTTGGAAGGGGCAGCCACTGGAGTGGGTCCTGCCGCTAGACCCAGGACCTAGCGGTGACTGCCCTTGTAACAAGAGGACGTGGATTCAGGGGCCCTTGGAATGGGTGCCTCTCTGAGTCTCCCAGAGACCGGGGCTCCTCTGAGTCGGTCTCAGCCCAGGAGAATGGGAGGTGGCCTGCCGGGCCAGGAGGGACCAGGCAGTGTGGGTGGACCCTTAGTGGGTGAGTACCTCCATCCCCAGTGCTGCCAGTAGGAAGCCTGATGGGGCCCAGGCCGCTTTCTCAGAACCCAAATTCAAGAAGAGGGGCGCCCGCACTCAGAGGAAGCTCTCCCCGGGAAACCCCTGCGCTCTCTTCTCCTCCTGACGTCCCCAGGGACCCTGCTCCCCTCCACGCAGAGGCCAGCCATGTGGGTCCCCCATGCAGGGACAGGTAGGCTCTCGCGCCAGACACAGCCCCGCTGGGCATCCGGGGCTGGCATAGGTTCATTAGACTGCTCCTGGGGGGATGGGAGCCTGGTTGTCCCACTAACCCTTGCCCCTCAGGACTAGCAATGACTTCCAGCTTCTGAAGGCACAAAGCAGAGGTCCAGATTCAGAGCCCAGGGGACCCACACCATGGCCTGGGCACCTCCTGGGCACCCAAGGCTGCCCATAACACCCCCCGGAGTCCTGGAGCCCACGTGGGCCTTGAAGACTGAGCCCCGAGGAGCTTTGGAGAGGTATGATGTGCGAGGCAGGGGGCAGTATTTCCTGCTACCTTGAGGCAGGGCCTCATCTGACTCCAGCCAGTGAGCTTGGGGCCTTAGAGGGTGTGGCCCTGCCATCCAGGGAGAGCTCCTGTCTGGGGGCTCAATGCGGGGTGCTCAAGCAGTAGGTTGGGTGAGGAGGCTGCAGAGGTCAAGGTGACCGTCTGTGAAGGTCACCTGGATGAATTGGAACAAGACTTCACTTGCTGGAAACCAGCCTCTCATCAGCCTGACGCACAAGCTTTGTGTTCAGGGGCGGCCCGGTGGCCTGGATGTGGGGGGCGGGGGCGGGAGGATGGGGGCGGGTGAGTAGGACCCCCCGATCTGGGGCCATATGCCCAGGTCAAAGGCAAGTTCACTTGGCCCAGCAAGGTGGCGGTCCGCACATGTGGCCCTCCACAGTGTTGGGCCTCAGAAGGGCCAGTGCACCACGCAGGGTTTCACATCTGACTTAGAAAGTTCCTTCTGGCTGTAGAGTCAGCCAGGGGGCAAGACGGAAGGCAAGGGCGGCCTTTCTGTGGGCCAGTGGGGCCCGGGCTTGCCACTGGAGTGGCCTTGGCCATCCACAGACCAGCCTCTCCCTCTTGTGGTGGCTCCCTGTTTCTGCGCCCGCTGTCCTCAGAGGACCTCACTGCCCCCTGGGCGTCCCCTTCCTCGGTGGCAGAGGAGGGGTTTCCTGGGACAGAGGACCTTCAGTGCTAAAAGCAGGAGAGCCCTGGGCAGAGCAGGGAAGTTGGGCCTGTGGTGGGTGGGGCCTTCCCGCCTGTGCCCTTTCCCTTCACCCCGCCCCAACTTCCACCTCGGCCTCTTTTGCCCCCTGAAACCCTCGTGGCCATGCAGAGAAGCCCAGCGCATGCCGGCCTTCACCCCTGCCCACACCCTCTTCTCCAGGACGCCTTCCCTGGCCCCCGTGGGCCGGCCCCCTGGAGGCTCACGCAGGCCCTGTGCATACCACCCGAGGCCTCCCTGCTTGGCATCCATGCTCGTGGCTTCTGCTCCTGGGCCATCGATGGACTAGAAGGAGAGCCCTCAGAGCAAGGCTCAGCCCTGGGCCTGGGCACGGCCCCCAGGGAACGTTCTGGAATGAGTGGAGGGTGGGAGAGAGGTCCCCACCATGCTGGGGCACCTCTGTGGGATGGGCTGGTGGGCCGGTCGGGGTACAGGGAGGACGATGGCTGGTTCTGACCCGCATCTTAATGGGACTGGACTCGGCTCTCTGCCTGCCAGTGCCCTGGACGCTGAGCCTCCTTCTCAAAACTTGGGGAAAGTGCTCAGCGTCCTCGGGCAGCGAGGACCGTGCTCTGGCCTCGCCCATCACCACCTGCCCAGCATGTGGCCACCTCTGTCTTTGTCTGTGCTCAGAGGAAGGCCCCCTCACAGATGGGCCGCCCCCATGTTTTCTGACTGTTCTGTCCTTGAATCTGGAACGTTGCTGGGTTTCACTTGGCCCCCACCATGTTTACAGAGACAGGTCACCTACAAACTCTGGAATTTCAGCTTCCCTGGGACAATCCACAGGCCTGGCCATCCTTGGCTCATGTGTGGACAGGGGGACACAGGGCTGGGGTAGGGAGTGGATAAGATGAGTCAGAAACCAGCTGGCCTTGCCTCTTTCTGTACCTCACTGGCCCAAGGGGCACCAGAATTTGCCATCCTGACCCAGACCCTCCCCAAGAGGGGAAGGGACCTCGCAACTTGGATGAAAGCATAGACTTGCTGGAGCGAAGGCCTCGTCACTCCTGCCCTCTCTCGTCCTCACCCGGACAGGTGGGAACTGGGGTGGGTGCTGCTGGGCCTGCTGTGGGTGGGACTCATGCACCCAATGTGTCCTCTGAAGTTGGGTCACACACAGGGCAATACTTGGGCAGAGGGCAGGAGCCTGGAAGGAACACAGAGCCCTCTGTTCCAGCCCCTCATGGCCTCCAGGCTGTCGGGCTCGCCATAATGGTCTCTGGGATGCGTCTGGCTTCCCCGTCACTGTCTGTGCTCATTTGGTGACTCCGTGCCCCCGGGGACATGAGCCTCCTCTGTGGAGCCGACTGCACACTGGCAGACGTCTCTCCTGGCAGGCAGATCGGGAGGGCTGGTGACTGCTCACGAGAGGAGTGGTTCCTGCCGGCAGCTGGGGCTCAACTGACCTGGGTTCACGGCCTCTTTGGGGCGTGTCCCCTGCAGGTGCTGGACAGGAAGTAGGCTGTGCATCCTGTGGTTTTACCAGAATACAGCCCGGTTCTGGACACCAGCTGGGGCACCAGCTCAGGCACTGCCCAGAACTGCTGACTGCTGCCAAGGCTGACTGTCCTCTGCCCACTGGGCGGCGTCCCAGGCCACTGGCCACCATCTGGGTGTCGACGCCCCTCTGGTCATCTGTCCCAGGCTGAAGCCTGGCCATGGGACAAGAGTGGAGGCCCTGTAGTGGGGTGGTCAGACCAGAGGAGCCGCTGGGAGGCTCACATTTGGGGACACTATCAGGTCAGCCTCTCGGGGTCACCCCAAGTGGGCCCCTGGGCATGTGTGCTATGGGAGTCTGTCTTAGCTCCTCCCCTCTCTGTCCAGCTCTTGGGGCCTCTCTCAGCATCCACTGCCCAGAGGACTGCGAGGGGCCCTGAGCCTGGTTGTGGGTGTCCAGACCTGACACCCCCAGGGTAAGGCATGTGAGGCTCCCCGAGGAGGAACCACCCTGTGTCCATCCGTTCAAAGGGTTGCTGGAGAAGGCGCCGTGTACAGGCCCAGTGGATGATCCTGGCGAGGGGATGCTGGTGAGGCTCCAGACTCTGCCCCCTCAGGGCACCCGCTCTCAGGGAGCAGCTAAGACTAAACCCCAGACGCCGCCTCGTAATGAAGGAAGGAGCGCAGGGAGGTGCCTCTGCCAGGCGACCGGAAGGCTTGGGGGTGTTGGGCCATTGACACCCTGCTGAGCACCCACTCGATAGATAATCGATAGATAATCATAGGAGCTGAAACTGACAAACTCTTAGAAGAGAACAGGGGAAAAGGGCATTGGATTTGGCAACGATTTCTTGGATATGACGCCGAAAGCACAGGCAACAAAAGTGAAAAATAGATACATAGGATAAATTAACAACTTTTGTGCATCAAAGAATGCCATCAAGAGATGAAAAGGCAACTCTTAGAATGGGAGAAAATATTTGCAAATCGTATATCTGATATTGGAATTAACGTCCAGAATCTACAAAGAACCCCTACAACTCAGCAACCAAAAAACCCAAACAACTTGAAATAAAAATGGGCAGAAGACTTGAATAGACACTTCTCCAAAGAAGATATATAACTGGCCAATAGGCCCATGAAAAGATGCTCAACATCACTGATCATTAGGGAAAAGCAAATCAAAACCACAATGGGATACCGCCTCACACTCATTAGGATGGCTGCCATCAAAAAAAAAAAAAAAAAAAACCCAGAAAAATAACAAGTGTTGACAACGATGTGGAGAAATTGGAACCCTTGTGCGCTGCTGTGGGAGTATACAATGGTGCAGCCACTACAGAAAATGATATGGAGGTTCCTCAAAAATTAAACATAGAATCACCATGTGATCCGGCAATCCGACTTTGGGTAGACGCACAAAAGAATCTTTTCATCCAGGATCTTGAAGAGATATTTCTACAACCATGTTCCCAGCAGCATTATTCACAACAGCCAGAAGGTGGAAGTGACCCAAGTGTCCATTGATGGATGATGGATAAACAGAGAGTGGAGTATCCGTACAATGGAATACTATTCAACCGCAAGAGGGAGTGAAGTCCCAATTCGTGCTCCAAGGTGAACGAACCTTGAGGACATTATGGTACGGAAAATAACTCAATCACAAAGGGCCAATACTGTGTGATTCTACTTATATGAGGGCCCTAGAGTAGTCAAATACATAGAGACAGAGAATAGAATGGTGGTTTTGGGGAATGGGGAACGTGTTTAATGGCCACATTGACAAGGCTGCAGGGACCCAGGACATGGTCTAGGAGCCAGGACTTGGGCTTGTCCCGCTTGGTGAAGCTCCCCGTTCCATCCTAAAACCCACAGAAGCTGTGTAGGAGGGATCCTCTGGCGCTGGGCCTGCCTGAACCGCCCATTTCAGCAGCTCCGGCATCGCACCGCATGGGAACCTGGGGAGGAGAGGCGTCTGGTGCAGAAAGGATCGCTGGTCTCTGGATGGCAGGTGGCTGAGATGCTGCTCGTCACTGTCAGAGCATGGAGGCATCTTGGAAGCCCATCGCATGCAGCTTCCTTATTTCTCAGCCGAGGCCTTTGAGGCCAGATGGGGCGGTGACTCATCCAGGGTCTCACAGGGAGCAACCCCTGAGCTTGTCCTTTCTTGAGGTCTGACAGTACTATGTCCACTCTCAAGTGTGAGCAGCTCCTGGCAGGTGCCCTGGGCACGTTGGCTGAGTTGAGCCATGAAAGTCCTGCCACCTGGTACAGAGGGAGGGGTCCACACAGGCACTGGTGGCTGGTGTGGACCTCAGCTCACCTTCTCGGGGAATCACACAGGTGGCCAGGCCAGTGTCTGCCTTTACGTCCTAGAGGCCAGTGCAGAGCTGTGCCTACTGGGCGCTTGACAAATGTAGCCTAGACAGGCGGGGCTGGGAAGTCTGCACAGTGGTGGCGTGAAAAGGGGCTGGTGAGCACAGGACCCATGGGGGCAGCATCCTGGCAGAGATCCTGTCACGCTATGTGGCTGGGTGTGGACTTGCTGTGGTTGGCTGAATAGTGGCCACTTCCTAGTCCCCAGAACCTGTGACTATTGCCTTATAAGGCAAAAGAGTGAGGCACAGGTGAGAAAGAACTGAAGATTGTGTGATGAGAAGATTATCCGGGATTGTCCTAAAGGCTACCTCAAATGTCCTTGTAAGAGAGAGGCAGAGGGTGATGACACAGACACGAGGAGAGGGCCACGTGAGGATGCAGGTGGAGGCAGAGTCATGTAGCCAGGAATACCGCAGCCACCAGGGGCTGGATGAGGCGGGAAGGATCCTCTGGGGAGCCGCTGGGGAGAGCGCAGCCCTGCCCACCCTTGATCTGGGGCTTCTGGCTGCCAGAACTGAGAGAGAACAGACTTCTGCTGTTTTAAGACCCCAGTTTGTGGTGATCTGTTGCAGCAGCTGCAGGGAACTCACACACCCACCTTGAGCAACAGTCGCCTGGTGTCGTCACCGCCAGACGACTCATGTCACACCGAGACGGTGTGGGGTCCACCATCGTACTTCCTCCATTCCTTTCATGGATTCTGATCAGGCAGCGCGCCCTCTCCCCGCCTGCTCTCTCCTCGCGCATCTGGGAAGTCCTGAAATACAGGATCCGCACACTTGCCCTGAGTTATGCTGGGAGGTGGAAGCAACACAAACACATGTTGGCTCCCCAGGTTGGCATGTGCTTCCGCCGCTGCCAAGACCCTGATGGAGCTCGTCAGATCCACACGGGACACTGACCGTGTCTGGCCCTCCTCCCCTCGCCCACCACACTGGCTCTGCAGGGGGTGGTCCTGGGCGTGGTGGCCTGCAGGCCTCTGAAGCATGTGGTTTCTCCATAGTCAAACGCTGCCTGGCCGGCTGGCGGGGCACATGAGTCCCTCTGCCAGCAGCCTCATCCTTCTCTTCTCTCTTCCCGGCTCTCCTTGCTCTGCCCTTGCTTGTCTAAGCAGAGCTCTCGTCCAGCTTCTTGGGGCCATCACTCATTCACGACTCCACGGTATTCAACTGCCTGCTGTGCACCAGGGTTTGTGCCACCTCCAGGACACACCGAAGAGGCTGACCCTGTTCCAGCCATGTGGAGCTTGCCGTCCAGGGGTGATGGGCATTTACCACCCATCACAGAGGCCTCGAGGGGAAAGGACAGGGGCCCGAGCTCACCAGTGGGCCCCTTGAGGCTCTGGGAATGCACGGGAGTCCAGCAGGCAGCTGGAGAGAATGGGGGAACATGTGTGGAGCCCCAAGGTGGCGGGGCCAGCTCAGGAAGTGGCGGGGGGCCGGCATGCCAGAGCCGAGCAAGGGACAGTGTGGGGCTGAGCTGAGGCCACAGGAGTGGGTCAGCCGTCAGCCAGGCAGGGTCTGCTACTCGGCCAGGGGAGGAGGTGAGGGTTCCCCTGTCTTGTGGGCAACGGAAGCTGGGAAAGGGATGAAGCCAGAGTGTCACACTGTTGGATTCCATCTCCCTGGGTGGGCGCACTCTAGGAGGCCAGGGGGAGCAGGAGGCCATGAGGAGTGGCTCAGATAGGGGCAGCGACACCCAGAGGAGAAATGTGGGGCTAAGGAGGGCAGGCCAGGGGGTGGGCGTGGGTGTGCAGAAAGGGGAGGAGCGGATCCAGGACTAACTGGGCAGAACTGGGGTCACCCCTGAGATGGGAGCCTGGGGGCGTGAGCACTGCTCTGCTCTGGGGGGAGATTGGAGTCCCACGTTGAGCTTTTTGGGTGCAAGGTGACTGTGAGACATCCAAGGGTGACATAAAGTTGCCGTGGGGTGGCTGGGCCTGGGGCACAGAGGAGCCAGGGTGTCAGCAAAGAGCCACGATGGAGGCAGCAGGGGTGAGATGATCAGCAGAGGAGGAGAGGAGAGAGGACCAGCCTTGGGCACTTTGATGTCACTGGCCGGGGGAGGGGCTCCAGGGTAGAAGGAGATGGCTCCCCAGATGGCAGGAGGGTTGGGTGCACAGCGCGGGGCCACCCCTGAGAGCGGAGCAGGAGCAGCTCGCTCCCCAGTGGAGGAGCAGATGATGGTTGGGGCAGCTTGTCGGGCGTGGAGCTGAGCCTTCTTCTGGGCTCAGAGCCCCTGGGCTCTTCCGACGGGGCACTGGGTCTTCTGGGCGAATTCAGGAGAGTTGTGAGGTTCCTGGAAAGTGGGGAGAGGAACATGAGAATCAGTGAATTGCAGACAGTGGTGTCAGGAGCCACCTGGGCCCCATGACTGAGGGTAAGGGTCAGGACTGTGGGACCCCCCACTCCTCTGCACCAATGCCCCTCCCTGCAGGTCAGAATCCCACAGAGATGGAGGATGGCAAACGGCAGTGGATGTGGAGGACAGAGCGGGATGCAGGTGGAGTGTGAGGTGGACCAAGGGTGTGTGTGTGTCCTTGCACCTGAGCAGCTGCCCTGGGCAAGGGGAAGATGTGCTCTGGGCAACCCCAGAGGACAGGACTGGGCTAGGTTTGAGGAGGGAAATCTGTCTCTTTGCTTGACAGTGGGAAGGGCTGCCCTGTGAGGTGATGAGCTCCCCGTCCTGGGAGGCATGGAAGCAGAGACTGGGGCTGTAGCTCTGCAGAGGGGCTTCCAAGCACATGGAAGTGAGGGGCCTTGGATCCCGGTTCTGCCCGCAGCTCTGACTCAGGTGCAGCTCCCTGGGTGTCTGAGGCCCACGCATGGGTGGGGGCGGGGGCCTCCTTGCAGGGCTGCAAGGGCAGTGTCTGACATACCTGGCTGGGGGTCTTCTCTACGCTTCGCTGTTTGTAGATCCACCAGTGGGGAGCACCTGATGCACAAGGCCAGCCCAGAGGGGCGGGGTCAGTGGGAGCAGCTCCCTCCTGCTGGTTGGGACTTGCACAGCCCTGAGCAGGGAGGTGGGCTGGGCCTGGCAGGGCGCCCAGCGCAGGCGCGGGAGGGAGCCAGCAGGGTGTGGCTTCCCATCCTGGCGAGGTGGAGCCACGGAGACGTCCCCTAGCACCAGACTTTCTCCAGCGCCAGGCCCAGGTGGGTGCCAGCCCCTCTGAGGTAGGGGGCCAGGCAGGGTGGGTGGGCAGCCCGAGGGCCCTGGGCTCTGGGCTGGGGGCTGGAAGCACAGCCCTGCAGGGGAAGAGGCAGAATTCACACTTGGGCTGTGGGAGGCACCTAGTTTCCAGAGCACAGGTGTCAGAGGGGATGTTCAGGTTGCTATGGAAACGCAGCCCCCAGTCCTGGCCTGAGGTTCATGCCTTTCCAGGCTGCCTCAGAGACAGAACAGAGGGGCATGCCCCGCCTCATGTTTCTCATCTGGGCAATGGGGATGCCACATGTGCCCTCCAGTCCGATGGGGAGGCCCCAATGTCACAGAGACCCAGCGTCTGCTGCTACTGGGATGACGGTGGGAGGGGGAACCATAGGAACAGACCCTCTGCCTCTAGGAACAGCACAGTGGGAGCAGGCCGGCAGAAGTCCTGAGTGTGATGTTCCCTAGGGCCGTCCTGAGCCTGCGTGTGCCTTGGGCCTAAGATGCGGAGTCAGTGTGATGGGTGGGAGGAGCCCTGTGAGGCTACCCCAGGTGGTCACCAGGCCCTGCCTCCCTGCCCCTGTGACATTCTTAATTGTTGGTGACTGACTCACCCTCACTTCAAAGGCCTAGGCCAAGTTCAGCTACTTAACCCGCTGCACCACACCCACCTGTCACTCTGGAATTCTGCTCTGCAGGGAGCCGGTGCCCCACTGGCAGACCTGCTCCTTACCTGCACCTGAGCAGGTGCCTCCTCCCAGCCCGTCTGCACAGCTAGCCTCAGAGAGCTCTTCACCGGCTGTCCTCTCTGCCCGGGCCCCAGCCATGGCCGTGCAGGTGCCCCTGTGGCACCACTACCTGCAGGCCATCCGCTCTCGGGGGGCACCCCGGGCGCAGGACCACCAGCGTGCCGAGAACGTGTTGTTCACAGTGCTGGAGCACGTGCATGCCCGGGACCCCCGCTTCCTCGTGGACTACTCCCACGACCTGGAGGCCTTCCAGTTCACCCTGCGCTCCTCGGAGGACCCGCTGGACATGGAGGTGCCCCTGTGGGTGGACGCAGAGGCCCTCCTGATCGAGGAGCTGGGGGTCCCTGAGACGGGGGATGGCCCCGCATCCTGCCGCCTGGGCGTCCCCAGGGAAGTGCCCGGCCTGGAGCGGTGGATGACCGATGACGTCTTCAGCGCTTCCGAGGACAGCACCACATGCTGTGGCCACATCGTGCCTGGCAAGGTCCTGCATGTCCTCAAGGACCTTCTGGTGGCAGCCATTGTGCACTGCAAGCACCACAGCCTCATCACGCCAGGTAGGGGCCAAACCACTCTGTGCATGCGTGTCTGTGGGCCTGCGCGTGAGTGCACACGCGTGTGATGGTGGGGCGTGAGCACAGGAGTGTGACTGCTCGGTGTGCGTGTCAGGGGCTCACAAGTTGGAAGACATCACTCTGAGGTCCTTTCTAGTTCCAAACACCTCTAAGAAGACGGGTCACGCTTTTTAAACGGCCAGAAACTGTGACCAGCGTGTGGTTTTCCAGTTGACCTGCTTGATGAGGTTCCGACACGGTTCTGGGCAAGTGGTTCTGTTACAGTCGCAGATCAACATGACGGTCCTCACAGCTGTCCCCACTTCCAGCGTCCGGTCACGTTGCACTGGGCTGGGAGGACTATGTGTGTCTGTGTGTGCGTACAGGCGTGCGTGTGCATGTAAGTGCGTGATGGTGCAGCCCTGTGAATACATGCATATGTATGTGTGTGTGTATGTGCATGAGTGTGCACCAGTGTGGATGGATATGCACGTATGCCCATGTGTGCACAGGTCTGTTCCAATTTGTGGCCCAGCTGCTAACTGGTGTTTGGGGCCGCCAGCAGGCTCTGGGGCTGGGTGCTTCCAAGTGAACCAGGCATCTGGCCTCAGTCTCTCCTCTGGGTGCCTTGTTGATGTGATCTGGGGGTGGTGAGCCCTGGGGTGGGCAGGGCTCCCCTCCAGCAGGGGCTGCGGGCCGTGATGGCGTGGAAGGACGGGTGTAGCCTGTGCAGGGCCCACGACAGGGGGGCCCTGAGTGACGGAGCCCATCCTCCTGGGGGTCGAGTTGTCCTGGCAGGGGATTGGGACAGAAGTAGAATGTCCTGCTCCCCTTGGGAGGGGACGGGTGTGTGGCAGTGGTGGCTGCCACTTGCTCCCAAAGGTTCATTGCCTGGAGCCACCTGGTGTTCGCCTGGTCCTCACATCTGCCATGGTGGGGTCAGTGAGTAGGAATGGTCAGCCCCCTTGAGCGACGTGCCCTGGGCTGCCCTGCATGTGGAGCCCAGGTCTGGCTGCACATCCAGCCTCGGGCCCAACTGGTGGCATGGGGACCGCAGTGACCTGAGCCTGCAGGACCACCCTTTCCTCTGGCTACTTCCTGTGAGTTCCAGGGAAGCCGGGCAGGCATCTGCACACTGACGTGGGGGATTCAGAAGGTGCCTGGGCTTCCAGACGGACTTCCAACATGAGGAGGGGCGGCTTCTAACCCTGGCCCCTCAGACCTGCCTGGTGACCCAGGCAGGTGGCCACCCCTCGGGGCTGATGACAAACAGTGTCTCACAGGGTGGCCCGAGCCTGTCATTAGGTGCCCCCAGAGCCTGAGACTCGCCGACATCTTCTCTGGTCATTTTTTGAACCTTCCAATTATCGCAGGCGGCTTGGCAGGACTCTTTCTGTCTTCTTGCCTGACCTAATGTGGCCGTTCCCACCTGCCCTATCACCTGCAGGCCCTCCACCCTACCCCAGAGACAGACCCCCTGTTGGGGTGAGCACGAGGCTCTGCCCAACCCTGGCCCTTCGGGCACGCTCTGACCGCCAGGCCCCTCCTCACCACCCCTGGTTGCTTCCAGGCTGAGAAAGCAGGAGGCTGGGAGTCACACCCAGGGGCCCCACGGAGCTGGCATGTAGAGAAATTCCAGGCATTATTTCCTGACACTTACCTTAAAAGGGAAGTGGCAGCCCCAGGTGACAGGGTTCAGGCTGCCCCCACCCTGGGAACCGGTGAGACGAGATAGGGGCTGAGTTGGGGAGTGGCTAGGACAGGGGTGGGTGTAGCAGGTTACCTTCCAAGCCACCTTTTAATGGACAAAATGTATGACCAATGGTAGATAAGGAAAGGAAGGCATCAGTGGTGGCTTTGCGTGACACGTGCCTCAGACGCTGAATTGAGAGGGGCCGGGATCACTGAACCCTTCTCTCCCCTTAGCCGATGGGGAAACTGAGGCCCATGCGGGGGATGGAGTGGCCTAGGTGGTAGAACCAGGACTTGCTCTGGGCTGAGTCCCAGGGGGTGGGAGGAGCACCCTGCAGGATATTGGGGGAGTGGGGTCCACATAACAGGGGGCTGGGCTCCTTCCTGCAGGACCCCCCGGGGCTGTGGACAGGCTGGGGTGGGCTGTGCTGGCTGTGGGAGGTGGGGCCACGGTTCCCACGCCCACTCACCGTGGAGACTTTTGTCCAAGGCATGTATTGGGGACTCCCTCTGGGACATGGCTCCCAGCTGGTGGGCCCCCCTGACCTCTGACCTGGGCACCCTCACTGGGCAGTGTCAGGGGAGGAGAGAGGAGACTGCTCCAGGTCTGGGCTGGGGTTGGTCAGGGTCAGCGATGAAGGTGCCCCCTGCCCTCCGCGAGAGACCCCTGCTCAGCTCACCCCCCTCACGTCCTCTGGTATTAATTTGTTTTTAAGGTGAAGGGGACAACTGAGGTAGAAGGCCAGAGTGCCCCTGGTCAGACCAGAACGCCTCCCACCTCCCCAGCCCCCAGCCCTGTTGCCCCATGGAACGTCCTTCCTGGGTGGTCTGGGGGCTCTGCGTTGGGGGAGTGGGTGCTGGGCTGAGTGGGGACCGGAGCGGGAAGCATCTCTTCTAGTATGTGTCATTTGTAGTGTGACAGGAGGTGACAGGCTCTTGTGCAAGTAGCTGGGTGTGAGTGGAATCCAGGGTGGCTGGGCTGGGTCCACTGTCAGCCTTCTGGGTCAGGGCCTCCGGGGGCTGGCCAAAGCGGGCTCCTCCCAACACGGGACGGCCAACGCCTTCAGGGACACTGCGTGTTCTCTCCCGCAGGGGCCGATCCTGGGGCCCAGCCCTGCTCCTCATGTCCCCAGCCCCTCCGGAGAGCTGTGTGAGGGGCAGAGTTTGAGATGGAGGCTCTCGTGCACGGGCTGACTTGGAGGGTCCTCAGGGACGCTTTGAGGGAGCAGGAGGGAGTGGGAAGGAGGGAGCAGGTCTGATCAGAAGAAAGCCTGCTTTAGACCGACCCTCCTGGGCTCTGGAGCCCGAGTGCCCGCAGAAGCTGCCCTCCCAGGGGCTGGGCTGTGATAGCCCCGTGCACCCCTCACTGGCTACGGGCCACTGGGAGGGTGGGAGCCAACCTCTGGGTGCCACCGGGCAAGGTGGCCGGCTGCCAAAGGCTGTCTTCTGCAGAGGGGCAGCTGTGAACTGTCAGCATCTGGGGGTGCTGGGGCCACCAAACACACCTGCTCCAAGACTTTTCCTGAACGCTGAGGAGGCCCTGGGGATGTCTGGGCATCGGGGTGCAGACTCGCAAACAAGCTGCTCAGAGAGGAGCGTTAGAGACTCTGCCTCACCTTGCTCCGGCAAAGAGCTGCGGGGTCTCAGAGCTGCCTGGGCTGTCGGGGAGTGCTTGAGGGAGAGCCTGCAAGAAGGACCCGGCCTCTCCCTGTGTGGGACCCCTAGGTGTCAGGCAGATGGGGAGGGGTCCTCAGACCCAGCACCCTGTGGGGCTCACTAGGGGACCATGTGCCGAGGGGCCCCACCCTGGGGTGGAACTGCTCCTGTTTGAGCCCTGGCCTCCTCTGGCCCAGCCTGGGCTGCTGCTGCCGCTCCCTCCTCCGAAGAGAGCTGGCAGCCATGGGGTGGGGGTGGAGGGGGCTCTGGACGGACGGACGTCCAGGGATGGAGCAGAGCGGGTCGGCTCACGGGCTCAGGAAGGCCTGGGGAGGTGCAGCCACCAAGCTCCGGCCACCAGGTGTGAGGGCAAGGGAGACCGGCAATGAGGACATTTCTGACCTGGGCACCTGGCCAAGGAGAACCTCAGTGCAGACGCTGCTGTCATCACTGAGGCCTCGATGTCGCTGAGGTGACGATCACGCCGATGAATGGCATCCTCATTGCCTTAGTCATCTCGGGCTGGCACGTAACAAACACCAAGACTGGGTGGATTAAACGACAGAGGTTATTTCCTTATAGCTCTGGACGGTGGACGTCCAAGGTCAAGGTGTCACAGGGTTGCTTTCTCATCTGGTTTCTCGGGGGTTCCTGGCTTGCAGATGCTGCCCTCTCGGCGTGTCTTCACGTGGCCTTTTCTCCGTGTCCCCCAAGTGTTCCTCTTCTATAAAGACTAGTCGGATTAGAGCCTACCCCAATGGCCTGTTTAAAGACCCCATGTACAAACACAGTCACAGTATGAGGTGCTGAAGCTTAGGGCTTCCACATAGGAATTTGGGGGTCATCATTCAGCCCCTCACAGTTGCGCTGGCATGGACCATGCCTGGCTGAGGTTCTGGGTAGACGCAAGTGTCGGGTTGGAGGAGCAGCAGCCTGCAGGTGGCAGCCTGGGGGGCGGCAGAGAGGGCCGAGGTGAGAAGTGGGGAGGGTGGCATAGGCCAAAAGGGCAGCAGGAGGAGGGTGGTGGAGCATCCTGGGAGGCAGGGTCGAGCACACATGAGGGACCAGCACGGTGGGTGGGTTGTTGCAGGTTCCCTGAACGCAGCCAGCCTGAGGGAGGAGGGGCTCTGTCTGTCCCTGCTGGTGTCCAGTGGCTGGAGAATGATCCGCTTCAACATCGTGCCCGTGGTGCGGAGGAAGCACAGGGTGCCCGCCCTGGAAGGGGCCCAGCTGATGCCCTGCTTCCCCGAGGGCAGCTTGAAAAGAATCATCAGCCAAGAGGTGCCCCTGGTGCCGGCCAGCGCCCAGCACTGGAGGTAGGATGTGCCTCCTGGGTCTGTGGGGCCCTGGGGAGACCCTCACTCTGGGCATGGGTGTTTGGACCACGCGGATGTTACTGGGTCTCTGGGGGAGTTTGGGATCTGACCAGAATGCTCGCTCCCTGCTGCTGGCTTTGCCCCTCTCAGAGGTGTGAGGAGGGTGGGGCTGCGCCCTCTGCCCCTGGAGCGGGCTAGTGTCAGGCTGAGGAGAGACTCAGAGAAACCTGGAGCGTGACAGGCTGCCCCGGATGGGACCCTTTGTCACCCAGCCCAGCGCCTTCCTTTTGGGTGGGCAAGCAGAAAGAGGACAGATGGCTTGTCCAGGGTGCCAGCAGGTTCCTGGAGCAGCTGAGAGGTCCCCACACAGTGAGGGTGGTCAGATGCTAATGACTTAGCACTGGGGCTTTGCTGGCATCTTCCACCTGGGCTGCCCCTCCCCAATATGACATGATGTGACCTCCTGCCATGAGTGTCCCCATCCGTCCCCCCAACCATGGTGTTGACTTGAGAATGCCCCGCCCCTGCCCAGCCCTGTGCCCCAGCAGCTCCTCCTTGGGGACCCCAGTCTCTGCCCCAGGAGACTGCAAGCTCAGTGAGGGCCGCTGGCACCCGCAGGGAAGAGGGGTCAGTGTCTGTGAGAGGGAGAGAGGGAGTGGGGGCACTGGGCAGAGGCTGAGCCCCCTTCGAGACATCTTAGGAATGTGGCCCTCGGTTGAAGTAAGCAGGGGTGCTCTTATTTGGTTGAGCTAGGTCTTGGCAGTGGACGACATCTGTCCAGCTGGCCATGCCCTGCTGTGATTTTCTGCCACAAGGGAAGGCTCAGCAGGGCCCCTGGGAGCCCCGACCCCCTGGGCTCCCTGCTGACCCGTCTCCACACAGAGCAGGGCTGTGTCCTGGCTTGTGCGTGACCACTGCCCGTGAAGCAAGGAGGAGGGCTCGGCTGAGCAGAGTCATTTTTTGGAAGTAGATGGGAAAATGGCCTTTCCTGTGCCCCGGCCACCACAGACTCGGGGCGTGGGGGTGGACGACTGTCCGTATTAAACCTCCACAGAGAGTGGGGCCCAGTAGGGTGCCGTCCACAGCTTCCACCCCTTCAGTGGCTCGGCAAGCACAGAGTGAGCGCCACTGCTGTGCTATGCCCCATGCTGTGGGCACTGCTGGGGAGACAGAGGTTCTGAGCCCTCGGCTGTCCTGTGGCTGCCCCGTGGAGGCTGGGCTTCCCGAATGGGGCTTGGAGTCGAGATGTCACACCCTGCCAGGCTGGGCTGGCTCCGCCCATACCCCTGCCCAGAGACCAGGAGGCACTGCTCTATCTTGGGAGGGTCAGAGTGACACCTTCCTGTCCACACTAAGAAGGCTGGCCCGGCCTGGAGGCTCCCTAGGTCCCTCTGTGTTCTGGGGCCTGGGCAGCTTCCTGAAGACCAGATGTGTCACACTTGATAGCCATCAAGTGCAGTCCCTGAAAAACACATGGGGGCTGGGGTGGGAGCAATGAGACAGCCCTTGTTGTGGCCTGGGCTGTCCCGTGGGGCTCAGGAGCTTCTGATCCTGGGGAGGCCACAGAAGCTCAGGGGCTTTCCTTTCTGGGGATGAGCTGTGGTTGCAGGGTGCCCACAGATGCCTGGCTGAGGCCCCAACACTGACCGAGTGTGATGCGTCTGTCCGGGCCCCCAGGGTCTCCACTGACTACCTGCTCACGAGGCTGCTCGGAGCACTGGGCTCCCTCCAGGGCCACCGCCTGGACAGTCTCTCCATCCTGGACCGGGTCAATCACGAGAGCTGGCGTGATGGTGGCCAAGGCCCTGGTCTGACGTTCGGCCACCTGAAGGTATGCATCGGGGGCTCAGTGGGCGCCCTGCTCCCACTCCACCTCTGCTGGGCTGGTGTCTGCAACCAGGGGATCGAGGGAGGGGCACCCAGGTTTGGGCCTCCAGCTGGCTCCCCTCACTGGACAGCCTGGAATGAGCTCCGTGTGGGAAGGGTCGGAGGCCTCGCCGGGGTTCCAGGGAAGCCATGCTGTGGCTCAGGAGTGACATCTGGCTGCAGGGTGCTGCACAGAGCCCGCCAGCTGGTGTCAGGCCCCTCTGTCCCAAAGTCCCTGCCATCCTGCCCTGTGTCTGTGAATGCTACCAGCCAGGGGACCCCCTCTGAATGGACCCAGCCCAGTCCTGGCACCCTTTCTTTGCTGCTCACTGGGCTGCTGTGACACTGCTGGAACGGTGTGCCCCAGGGCTCCCTAACCATCAGGCACTGAGAAGAGCGACGGTGGGGAGGGGCCAGGGCTCTGACCCACCCCAACCCCCAAGGCAGTGAAGGGGAAGCGGGTGGGGGCTGTGGAGTCCTGGGGTCTCTGCCGGGGTGAGCAGTGATGAGGAGCATGGCTCTGTGCACCAGTGTGGGGCGTCAAGAGAGAGGTGGCCCATCCTGGCACAGGATATGGCTCTGCCACATGTCCCCACATGACCACAGGCCACCCACTGTTTCTCTTGGCCTCTGGCCCCACCCCTGAGGGGGTGCCAGCTTCCAGCAGTCCTTTGAGCTCTGATGCACAGTGGTCCCCGAGCTCCATAGTGAACGAGGGGTGATGGGGGCCGGCGGAGGGAGAGGGTGTGAGATGCAGGCAGGCAGCCATGTGGAAGGAGAGGTGCCCTTGGCTGGGGGCTCAGGAGCAGGGATGGAGGGGTCTGGGGCAGCCAGGTAAGTCCACTCTTGTGGTTCCAGATGTATTCTGGGCCCAGGCGTCCTGAGCACACCGACCGGCTGGGACGATGCCACAGGGTGGGGCTCTTTGGGTTGGGCTGCAGGCAATGTGCAGGAGGTCAACAGTGGGAGGCATGAGGGAAAGGCCCGGAGGGTGGATAGGAGCCTCAGAATCCCCCGAGAGGGGTCTTGGGTGGCTGTCCTGGAGACACCGTGGGGCACGATGGAGGGGAGACTTGGGTGGGGCCCCAGGGTGCTGCTGAGCTTTGCCAGGGAGTCAAGGGAGGTGCCAGGTTGGGGGCAGCAGGTGGGAAGGGGCTGGGACTCACCTGGGGACAGCGGGGGAGACAAGAAGGGTGGGGGAGAGGTGACGGTGGGGTGGGGGCTGTCCAGGGTGGAGGCACAGGGCGGGTGGGGACAGCTTTGATGAGGGTGGTGGGCTGTGGGTGCCCAGGGGTGAGGGTGGCAGGAGGGCAGAGTGGGGTGCCCAGGCCAGCCCACAGCCCGCCCGCCAGGCGAGGGCCTGACCCGGCCATCCCGCCACCCGCAGATGGTGCTGCTGTGGGCCTCGGTGCTCTTCCCGGCACCCGAGGACTGGGCAGAGCTGCAAGGGGCCACATACCGTCTGCTGGTGGTGCTGCTCTGCTGCCTGGCCACCAAGAACCTGCCCCACTTCCTCTACCCCGAGCGGAACCTGCTGCAGGACTCCGGCCTGGACCTCAACGCCCTGTACCAGCGTGTGGAGCGCTTTGCCAGCCAGCCCGAGGCGTTTCTGCGCATCCACGTCACCCACCTGGGCCGCAGCCCCCCGCCGCGCATCGGCAACGGGATCAAGGCGCTCCTGCAGCTGCCCGCCAGTGACCCCACCTACTGGGCCACCGCCTACTTCGACGTCCTGCTGGATAAGGTGGGTGCCGGCTGAGGGAGCCTTGGGCAGGCCCAGGGTCACACGAGGGTGGGGACAGAGCCCTGGTCCACTCCCCCAGGGTCAGGAGCCCAAGGAAGGCTGCGGTTAGGTCAGTCCTCCAGAGCAGCTGTCAGGAAAGATGTGACACCTCGGGTCAGATAGGCGATGAGTCCCCCCCTGCCCGCTGGTCCCTGGGAACCAGGGCACTATGTCTGAGCCTGCCCCCATTCCCATGAGAATCACCCCCAAACCCATACTTGACGAATGCTCAGAGCTCCACCTGCCTACCCTGGGGCTCATTCCTCATGGAGTGTGGCCGTCCCTGGGCCTCATGGGGACAGTTTCCTGCTGCATCCCTAGACTCAGGAGTCCCACAGCCATGTCCCTCATGACTATGTGTCTTCTGGCTTTGAGTTCGGGGGCACCTGGCTGCTCTGTCAGCTGCCCCTCCCTGAGCTCCAAGGTTCTGCCAGCTCTGCTAAGCCCTCCCCTCCCCTCCCCCACAGAGCCCACTCCCACTCCTTCCCCAAGGGCTACCCTCACCCTCACCCCAAAGAGCCAATATGGTCTCCTTCCAGGGCATGACGCGTGCTCCACCCTCAACAAGCACGTAGTGGGGCCTGCTCTGTGTCAGGCCCACCCAGGGACACCTGCATGTGAGGAAGGGCCCGTGGAGGAGAGGATCCTGGTCAGGTCCACCTGCGGGGAGGACTGTGCAGGCTGAGAACCAGAAGCAGGAAGGCCCAGCGGTCAGGGAGCGCAAGTTGTCCCTCACTGTGTCCCAGGCCCTGTGACAGGCTCCCAGATGGCTCTGTGACCCTTCTTTCCCCAACCCTGCCCACAGTTCCAGGTCTTCAACATCCAGGACAAGGACCGGATCTCAGCCATGCAGAGTATCTTCCGGAAGACCAAGGCCTTGGGTGGCGACGAGAGCTGAGCTGGGCTGCCCAGTCTCTGCCACCCACAGCCTGGCTGCACTGCCCCACGGGAGGCTCCTGGGACACTTGGAGAAGGGAACGGACTTCACCTTGAGGCGGGCGGTGGCTGGTGGAGGGACTTCATCCCCAGGGACCACCTCAGACCACCCAGGGGACAGCCTCCCGGGATCTGAGTGCTGAGCTGCCGGCATCCTGGAGCAACTGCCTTGTCTCCCCAGGCAAGGCCTGGGATGAAGGTGCCGTGTACTTCACGTGATGTGTGTTGACCCATCCCGTGGGATGTCATCAAGACTCTGAAAACCGAGTGTCTACATGAAACCTGGAGCTCAGGAGCTTGTCCCCACCTGTGTTGTATGCTTCTCTGTGGTGATGAAATACTATAGACCAGATCTTGAATAAATTAATGTGTTGGATATACACAATGGGGATGGTGCCCACCACTTTGTGTGTGTCTATGTGGAGACAATTTCCCCTGGAAACAGAGAAGTGGAAGAGGCTTGTGTGTAGACAGACAATTTCACACTTTCTCCTTTCTCCGTGAATGATCCTCCCTTCCCAGGCAACCCCACCTTCTAGTCCACAGAGGAAACTGAGGCAGACAGAGGGGACACCCCCGGCCCCCACCCTCAGGCCCGTACTTGTCCTGTCTGCTTCCTCCTGTCACAGTGGAGGTACCCCCTCTCCTGTGTAAGGCAGCCTCTCCCAGCATCTGACGCTAGCCCCTCGGTCCAGTCTCTGTGCTCTATTTCCCCACCTTGAATTCTCTCATCAGTCCCCTGCAGCCAGCTTGCAGCCATTCCCCACTGAGCCGCTCATGCAGAGGGTCCCAATGACCCCTGTGTGTCCCAGCCCAGCAGGCATTTTCTACTCTCCACCCTCTTTGGCTTCTCAGTGACATTTACTCTTCAGCTTCTGAGCCACAGCCCACAGCCCGGGCTCCTGGGAAGGGACCTACAATTGCATAGCAAGTCTGTGTGGCAGAAACTTCCCTCAACCTCCTCCAGAGGGACCTATGGCCATGTACCAGAGTAACTACACAGGGACGAGAGATAAGGTCCTTTGATGGCTATGGGACTCAGGACCTGAGTTGACACCAATATAGGAGACATGAAATGCCATTAGAGTGGGGGCTTGCAGAAGACAGAGTCTTGGTCCACTCTGATTCACAATAGATACAAATTGTCCAGGCCCACCCTGTGGTCGCTTCCTCGGGGTCTGAGTGTGTATCAGGATGGTCATACTTAGCAAGACTAAGAGCCATCATGGGAGGAAACGCCAAAGGGAAGACTTTAAAACCACCCCTACCGCACGGCCGTAAGAGTCCAGCACACCGTGTCCTGGGGGCAACAACAGAACTTAGCGACACTCTCAGAGACTTTGTGTCACCGGTACCACCTCAGCAAAAGTCAGGTGGGTCCAAAATGAAATAGTTACGTATAAATCCAACAAAACATGTACAAGATCTATACGCGGAAAACTACAGAAGTCTGAGAATGAAGTCAAAGAGAACTAAATGAATGGATCATCCACGTTCATGGATAGGAAGGTTCAACACAGTCAAGATGTCAGTTCTTTTCAACTCAGTCTCTAGATTCGACGGAGCCCCAGTCTCCACCCCAGCAAGTTATTTTGTGGGTATTGACAAGCTGATTCTAAAGTTTACACAGAGAGACGAAAGACCCAGGATATCCAACACACTGTTGAAGGAGAAGAACAACGTTGGAGGACTGACGCCACCTGACTTCAAGATTTACTATAAACTGCAGTAATCATGGAAGTAGTCAAGACAGCAAAAGCATAGACAGGTACATCAGTGGAACGGAATAGAGAGCCCAGAAATAGACACTCATAAATACAGTCAACTGATCTTTGACAAAAGAGCAAAGGCAGAACAATGGAGCAAGAGAGTCTTTTCAACAAATGGTGCTGGAATAGCTGGACGTCCCCATGCGAAAAAATGAATCTAGACACAGATCTTATACCCTTCACAAAAATTACCTCAAAGTGGATCAAAGGTCTAAATGTAAAACAGAAAACTATAAAACTCCCAGAAGATAACATGGGAGAAAACCTATATGACTTTGGGTTTGTCGTTGACTTTTAGATACAACACCAAGAGCACAATCCACAAAAGAAATAGTTAATATGCTGAACTTCACTGAAATGAAAAACTCTGCTCTGTGAAAGACAATGTGAAGAGAATGAAAAGACAAACCACAGACTGGGAGAAAATATTTGCAAAAGACACGGCTGATAAAGAACTGTAATCCAAAATATGTAGATTTAGTGCAATTCCTGTCAAAATTCCAGCAAGCTCTAGACAAAATGATTCTAAAATTTATATGGGAATTCAAAAGATCTGGGATAGGAAGAACAATCTTGAAAGGGAAGAACAAAATTGCAGGACTTGTACTACTTGATTTCAAGACCTACTGTGAATCTGCAGTATTTAAGACAGTACAGTATTGACATAAGAATAGATACATACGACAATGAAACAGAAGCGAGAGGCCAGAAATAGACCTACACGTATAGTCAATTGACGAAGTTGCAAGTCAATTTGATGTTTAACAAATGTTGCTGGAAGGACCGGATATCCATAAGGACAAAAGCAAACCTTGACCCCTTTTTCACTCCATGCACAAAATTAATTTGAGGTGGATTATAAACCTAAACGTAAAAGCTGACACCATAAAGTTTCCAGAAGAAAACATAGGAAGATGTCTTCAGGTCTCAAAGTCAGCAAGGGTTCCCTAGAGAGACCATAAGAGAAAACACATGGATAAATAGGACTTCATCAAGACGGAAAATATCTCCTCTTCGAAAGATGTGATTAAGAAAATGAATAGGTAAGCCTCAGAATAGGGGAAAATACTCATGACACACGTATGTGGCGGTATCCAGCTTATAAAAATAACTGCCACAAGTCAGCAATAACAAGATGCAAACCCAAATCATATGAGCAAAATACTTGAGCTGACACTTCTCAAAACAAGATACATGAACGACCAATAAGCACAGGAAAAGGTGCTCAACATCCTTAGTCATCAGGGAAAAGCAAATTAAAACCAAATTAGATACAACTTCACACCCACTACAAAAAAGACAACTCCAGTGTCAGTGAGGCCGTGAAGGAACTGGAGCTCCCGTGCACTTCTGGTGAGAATGTAAACTGTCACAACAGCCTCAGAGGCTTTCCGGGCAGTGCCTTGTAAAGTTAAACCTATACTTGACAAATGAGCCCACAATTCCCTCCTAGGTGTTTACCCGAGAGAAATGAAAACACGCATCCACACAGAGCCTGTATCAGAATGCTCATTCCAATCTAGCTCATAATCGCCCGAACTGGAAAGAGCCCAGAGATCCATCACCAGCAGATGAATAAACAGACTGTGCTCTATCCTACAACGGAAGAGAGCCAGCGATGCAGACAAATGCTGTTCCCCGAAACAGCACACACGAACGCCAAAACCGTTAGAAGAAAGAAGCAGACACAGTAGAGAATATGCTGTGTGATGCCACTTACATGAAATCCAGGTGCCTGCAACGCTGACCCGTGGTGTTAGGAGTCGGATGGTGGAGGGCTTGGCACGGGTGGGGTGGGAGCACAGGGCACCTGCCGTTGGTTGGGTCTCGCACTTGAATTCTTGTCTCGGTGTCTGCTTCGGGGGAAACCCGACCAAGACAGGGCTGCTCTTGGGACAAAGGCCAAAGTTTCGGAGGTGGCCCAGGTGGCCCTGCCTGTGGCTCCTCAAACCCTCAGGCCTCCTCTGGAAGAGCACCCCAACCTTTGCTCTGGGGACTCCAGACCCTCTGGCCCTCTCTGCTTCTGTGCTGATGGCAGCTACGATGTGACAGTGTCTGGGTCATCCCATCGGTGCCCATCCCTCCTGGTGGTCCTGAGTGCTGTGGGGTGCATGGCCTCTGGTCTGTTCAGGCCCTACTCCAGTGCACACGACTGTGCCCGGCCCGCACCTGTGTGAGTGACAGGGATGGAGCCAGGCCAACCCCTGGCCTGCACAAAGAGGGCTGCACCTTGACAAGAGGGAGACCCTGCCTGGCTTTCCTCCTGGGGCTTCTTAGGACCAGCGAGGGCCTGGAAATGTGGGCGTGGCTGTGACTGCCTGAAGCGTACCCGGTCCTGAGGAGATCAGTGGCTGGCCTGCTTAGAAACTTCCTAGGAAGGAGAGGCTGAGGGAGGCAGCCACAGGTGGAAACCCCAAGGGAGGAGGGGGAACTAAGGGACAGAGGTCAGTGGGAGCGAAGCAGAGAAAGAAGAGGAGGCTGGGGCTCAGGGTGCCCCCCCGAGCTGCACCTATGAGGGCTGAGTGGCCGCAGGGCTGAGGCCCACGCAGACCTTTGGCACCTGCACTGGCCTGCGTGTCTGTGGTGTGCACCCTGGGTCATCATACGCTCAAGTCCTGACTGTGCTTTTGGGCTCTTGCTCTCCCGACTTGGGTCACAAGTCAGCCCTGTGGGCTGTCGGTTCCCCTGGAGGTGGTGTGTGAGGATGTGTTTTGCAGGTGTGAGCTCTGGGACCTGAGTGTGTGGCGCCAGGGCCCCCGCACACCCCACCCACCAGCTCCAGGGAGGCCCCAGGCGAGGACCTGTCCCAGGGCTCCCCCAGAGGTGCAGTCAGGGATCATGGGTGCCTTCCCGTCAGACTCTCTCGCAGCCCATCCCCCCCACAGTGAGGACAGATGACCAACCAGTTCTTTATTGAATATTCCCAGAAGGCCAGTGACCTGCGAGGGACTGCAGCTCATTGGGAGGGTATTGTGGATCCGGAGCCCAAATGGCCCATGTTCTGCTCGGGGGGACAAGGGCCACCTGGGGCTGGGGACAGCTGCCTGGTCCTGCTCCTCGTCCCACCTCGCCTGGGCTGGGGCAGCTGCTGTCCTGTCCAGGGGCCCTGTCCACCTTGCAGAGTCTGTTTGCTCCTGGCCCCCCACCCCCCGGCCCCTGCAAGTGGACATGGGAGAGGCAGGCGGGTCACAGCTTGTTCCGGGGGCAGCGCTGCAGGGCCTCCCGCAGGGCCTCGATCACGCGGTCCACGTTCTCCCGGGTGGCGTTGCAGCCCATCAGGCCGATCCGCAGCACCTAGGGGGACGGTGGCGGGGCACACACGTCAGCCTCCATCGGGGAGTATACACGAGGGGAGCCGAGAGCTGCCTCCAGTCATGCAAGGAGGCCCCCCAAACCCAGTGCAGGGCCGGCTCTCCTTCCTCTGCGCCCACAGAGCTCGGGAAGGGAGTCCAGCAGGGTGGTCAGTCGAGGCCACTCAGAATCGCCTGCTCGGAGGGAAGGAAGGACATTCTGGGTTGAATTGGAGATGCTGTACCCCACAACGTCAAAAAACTGGGGTGGAAGGGGGCAAGAGGATACTTTGCCCAGATCCCCCCTTGGATTTGGAGAAGGATGTTCCATTATGGCCACCCCTGCTGTCCTGGCCCCTTGGATGACCGCCGGACCTTGCCCCGGGCCTGGGAACAGTGGTGCTCTGTGTGGGGGTGGTGCGTCTAGTTTCTGTGGCAGGTGTGGCCGGCCCTTGCCCCCCTCACCTTTCCCATTGAGGGCCCGAGGCCTCCCGTGATCTCGATGTCGAAGTGGTCCATGACATAGTTGGTGATGTCTCTCCAGTTGTAGCCGGCGGGCACGGCCACAGTGGTGATAGTGGGCAGCCGGAGCGCCTGCAGGACAGGCCCGGCTCAGTCCCCTTGACCTTCACCGGCTGGCCTTGACCTCAGGATCCACAGGAGCAAGTGGCGGTGGGGTTGGGGTGGGGAGAAAGAGCCTGAGGACAGCGAGGTCAGCACCCCTGCCCAACAGCTCAAGCGCATGGGACGGGGCGTCCAAGCCACTGAGGGACGCCAGGGTGGCACCGTATGTCTGTTCTCCTCCAGCAAGTCACACCCACTCTAGGGCAAAGGAGCTTCAGGTTCCTCCTGGAGTATTCAGCTGACCCTCCCACCCCAGGGCTCAGGAGGTCGAAGGGCATCTTCTAGCTCAGAGATCGCCCCTGACTACTCAGGGAGAGGTTCTGGGGAGAGTGGGGCCACCAAACCAAGTGTCCTAAGATCCTGAGGCCAGGGAGCCATGACCGCCTGCTCCCCGGGACCGCCTCCCCTACACCTGCCCCTCCCGCCGCCCCTCGGCCTCTTACGGGATCCTTCACGAAGAGCCGCAGGCCCAGCCCCTGCAGGCGCCCATGCAGGTAAGCCATGGTCTCCCGGTGCTGCCGCCAGCTGTCCTCCAGGCCCTGCGTGGGGAGAGGGCGCCAGCGGGTGCTGATGTGGCAGGGCAGGGCGGGGGCCCTCCCCTGGCCGTGGAGAGGGAGAACCTAGCTCACGTCCACAGTGGGGGCAGCTTCAGGCTGGAGAGGGGATCCTCTCCTGGCCTGGACTCTGAGTCCCTCGGGAGCCCTTTGAGCCCCCAGGTTTGGGGCTCTGGCTTTGTCCCAGGGGCAGGGCCTGGGGCTCCCTTGGGGCAGGTGGAAGTAGTCTGAGTCTGGAAGAAGAGAAGTGGGGGGCCCAGCCAGTCCTTGGAGCCAAGTGGCTCCTGGGGGAGAGGAGGGCACCCGGTCAGAGGTGGGGAGCTGACCAGTGGAAGGAGAGGGGCTTCTGTGCCACATGGGGCAGGGAGCTGGATCAGAACAGGGGCTCAGGCAGGTCGCTCTAGGCCCCGCTCTTTCCTTGGGGCCACACGGTCATCCTGGGGGAGGGGGGGCTGGAGGAAGGGACACGGAAGAGGGGAGGGAGGTCAAGGCAGGGGTGGGGAGGCCATCTCCATTCCCTCAGGACCAGCTCCTTCCAGCCCTCAGCCTCTCCCCAACCCAGCCCGCAGCTCCGACGGTCGCTCCAGGCCCTGTCTGACTGACCACACGGATCCACCCCCTCCTTCCCTACCCAGCTCACACCCCAGGGCCCATCTGCATGGCCACTCCCTGTGAGCTCACAGCTCCTGGCCCATGTGCTCGCTGGCACATGGCCCGGGCGCGGGTGCTGGTGACCCACCAGCTCTCAGGACACCTTGGCTCTCACCAGCCCTGGGGCAGTGGCTCTATGAGCGGATGCAGGAGGGCAGGTGTGGCCAGCACAGCACGGCAGCCTCCCAGGGAGGCCACCACAGCCAGGCTCACTTCCTGGCCTCTGGGCTGGACCTGGCAGCAGCCCCTGGGGGACCTCAGGCTGTGCTGCCAGCCACGTTTCCTGTCCTGTGTCCTGCAGAACCAACCTGGCCTGGGGCCACGCTTGGCCTCCTCTGTCCTGAGAGTGTGGACATTGCACTGGGCAAAGCCACCACCCTGGGCACACCCAGCTGTCTCTGCTCAGCTCCTGCCCCCACCCTGGCAGCTGGATGTGGCTACAGGAAAGTGCCAAGCCTGTGGAAGGTCAGTCACACTTTGTGCTTTTTTTTTTTTTTTTGGCAAGGAAGATTGGCCCTGAGCTAACATGTACGCCAATCGTCCTCTATTTTGCACTTGGGATGCTACCACAACATGGCTTGATGAGCAGTGTGTAGGTCCGTGCCCAGGATCCGAACCCACGAACCCCAGGCTGCTGAAGCAGAACACGTGAGCTTAAACACTCTGCCATCACTTTACACCCTTGACCACCTGCCTCTGGCTGCCTGGCCCTCCCGGCCCCTTCACCTTCCTCCTCCGCTCCTCCATACCTCCCCTTTCTCCTCAAACCCCTTCAGCCTTGGCTAGGCCCTCACTGAGTGCTTCACCAAGCAACTGGAGGGTCGGAAGACGGTCCACACCTGCCCCATCACCTGAGCCCAAATGAGCCCAGGACCCCTCCCTGCGCCCCTCCTTTCAGAGCAGTGGTTTGAGGGTCAGCTCCCTCCCATCACCGCATCTGTCCTGGGGTTCTGTCCTCCTGGGGGTGCCCTCAGCCAGCAGCCAACAGCACCCCTTTCTCTCTGCTATGCCACCAACTTTCCCTTCTCTTCAGGCCAGGCCCACGGGGGGTGGGGGATGGGGCTCTCTTGGGGCGCCTGCACCTGCCGAGCCCTGGTCCACGCTGCTGCTGCTCTCCGCTCCCCCCCTCACCTGTTCCGCTATGAGCGCCAGGCTCTCTCTCAGGCTGTACAAGCCGGTGATGGGGGTGGTGTGATGGTACCTGGAAGACAGGAGGGGGCTTGGTCCAGCCTCACTGGGTGGGGTCAGGGCAGTAGCTCGGTCTATTCCAGCCCCAACGGGTCCGGCTCTCTGACAACGGGGCTAGCCCCCTTCCCAGGGGAGCGATGTCCAGTTTGGGAGTTACGGGCTCAGAGCGGGAAGGGCAGTTCCTTTGAGAGCAAGGCTCAGAGTGGGGGTGCTGACCAGATCGCAGCAGAAGGCTGAAGGGGGCAGAGTGCGTGCTGGCTCTCACCTCCCCACCCAGGCCTGTGTAGCCCCAGTGGTCCCGTGAAGCCTGAATTTGACCTGCTGTGCCCAGTGGGTGGGGCACCATTCCTGGTGTCCCTGTCCCCCTGTGTGACATAAAGGGCCTTGGGTTATGGCCAAAGCCACCTCACAGAGAGCCCCTAGTTCACCCTCCCCTTTTAAGAGATAGGTAAACTGAGGCCCAGGGGTGGGAAGATGTGGCAGGGCCAGATCCAACATGCCCGAAGGTGCACTGGGACTTCTGGAAGGAGACGCCCCCGTGGGCAGGACTGTGGGGGCCGTGCTGCTGGACCCGAGCCCCTAATCCAGGGGTTGATGGGGAAATCGGGTCGGGGCATCAACGGCCTGGCTTGAGTGAATCCCAGGGCTCTAGCTGGGGTGCGGGGGCATGAAGTGGGGCTCAGAACCCAGTGTGTGAAACTGATGAGAGGCCCTCTGTCCCATGCCCCTCGGCCACTCCCAGCCCCTCCCGGACGCCCAGTCCTTCCCCACCCCTGCGGCCCTCACATCCTGGGCTGGTCGTCACAGCCCCAGAAGTTGGCCAGCCACTTGATGTCCAGGTAGAAGGAGAAGGGCTTCGTCTTCCGGGTGTAGATCTTGTTTCTGGGGAGGAAGAACTGGACTGAGCGCCTGCCCGTCCAGGCTGGAGCGACTGTAGGGCCTTTTGTCAGGCGCTCCTGACGCGAAGACGGGATCCAGAGGTGCGGGGACCCCAGGACCCCCATGATCGTGTTCAGGGCTGGCATGGGCCCCTCAGACTGCCCGGCCCCGCTGGCCCTTGGGCCCAGCCTGTGCCTCTGCCACGTGGGTGTGACACTGTCATGTGGGGACCCCGGCTATTCTCTCCCCCTCCCCAGACCCCTCCCAAGGAGTTGCCCTGTCTCATTCCTCAGGTCACCAAAAGGTGATCAGTCACTTTAAGACAGGAGGGTCTGCTGTTGGTGAGTGCAACCCATCAAAATGGCAGAAGGAAAGAGGCTCAGGGCCTGGGGGAGGCCTCACTGCTCCTGGGGGCCCCCACACCCTTGAGTATAAGCTGGGGAGCTAGAACGTAACTGAGGGGCTCTGAGGTGACCCCACTTACCCAAGCTGGGTGACCCCAGGCTCCCCTGGCTGTCCTCTCCCCTACCCGCCTGGCCTCTCCTGCTCGGCTCCCCAACCCCTGCACCCTGGTGGGCAGGCGCTCATCAGGGACCCTGGCTCCTCTGCTCTCAAGCCCTGGGCGATGCTGGCCAGTCTCGAAACTTTAAACACGTCTGATCTCCATCGGCTCCAGACTCAAGGAGCCTCTCCTCGAGCTCTGCACTCAGACCCTTCTTGAACCTCAAGTTGCCTCCTGACCCTCCCACAGGCGTCTCAGACTCTCCCCATGTCCACACAGGATTCCTGATTTCACCCCAGATGGTCTCTGTTCTGGTAAATGGCACCACCTGTCACCAGGGTATAGCTGATGTTAATGGCCTCCTGAGGCTGGTCTTCCATCCCCTCTCCCGCCCCCTCCAGGCCTGGCTCAGGGTCTGAGGGACCTGGGGACTTTGGGACTGCAGCAGGATGAAGGTGGCCCATGCCACTCCCTGGAGCAGCTCCCACATCAGCACCTAGACGCTGAGCCAGGGTGGAGGCAGCAGGGAGCTGGCACTGTCACCAGTCCTTGCTGGCTTGAAGCCGGGAATTTCCAGCATGCCAGGCCCTGCATCCCACACCCCGGTTCTCATGAAGAGCATCTTCCGAAGGCCAGCCTGGCCAGGCCACTCCCCGATACCCGTGGTCCTCACCGTGCCCTTGTGAAGCCTGGGCACACCTGTCCAGAGCAGGCATGAGTCCAGGGTAGGTGGCAAGCATTCCAGAGGCCTTCCCTCCCAAATCCCAGGCCCCGCCTCACTGCACGTCCCGCCCTGGGTGGGGGCCAGGGCCTGGGTCACTCACTTGGCCTTGTCACTGAAGGAGAGGAGGGAGGTGCCTGGAGGGGCATTCAGGACCTTCTGGGAGCCCGAGTATAAGACGTCAATGCCTGTGGAGGGGAGGGACATGTGCCCACGGGGGCTGAGCGCCATGCAGGGGCAGGACCATTCTAGCGGGGGGCCACCCCAGGCCGGGCCCCAGTCCATAGACTCTACTACATGGAGGCCAGGAGGGTGAAGTGGGGAGGGCGTCCTGGGTTCGAGTTGTGCTCTGCTGCATGGCAGCCTGGGAGCTCAGGCTCGAGCCTCTTGCACAGCTTCTCCCTCATGGCAGAGGGCAGCCAGCCCAGAGGTTCAGTGTGGGCATCCTGAGGACCAGCACCCCATATGGTGTCCCCAGGGCCCCTCCTTGTGCCCCTTCTTTCAGAGCAGTGGTTTGAGGGCCAGCTCAAACCATGGAGCAATGGAAGCCTTCTCAAGGTGGCCTGAAAGGCCATCATGATGGTGCTCACCACTGCGTGATAGGCTGGCGGGGTGTGGGGCAGATGGGTAAACTGAGGCCCAGCTGGGACTAGAGGCAGCCCAGCCCCCTGCACCTGATTGACAGGAGCCTCAGCCCTTCTCCTATCCATCCTGCAGGGACTCTGAGACCTCTCCAATGTCACCCCTGGAGAAGCTCCTCCCTCCCACCTGTCCCCTACACCCGGGCCTGCCGGCCCAGCAGAAACACCCCGTGTCAATTGGTTCATGGAGCCTGTTCTGCCCCAGTGAGGAGCTGGCGTTTCCCTGGGCCTTGTGGAGCCAGGGCCCGAATCTGACATGTGGGCTAGTGGTGGTCCTGCAGGCACTGTCAGATGAAACCTTTCCACGGGCGCCTCCTGTACCCTCAGGGCCCCCCGGGGTGAGCAGCGGCCTGCCTGGGGCTGTGGGGCACAGCCTTACCTTGCTGGTCCATGTAGATGGGGACTGCGCCCAGGGAGGCCACCGAGTCCACCAGGAGCAGGCACTTGTACCTGGGGGGAGGGGCAGCAGAGAGAAGCAGGAGGGGCTTCAGACTCTGCGTGGATGGGGTTTCTGGAGGGGCCTTCAGGGCCTGCTGAAGGCTGGCACGGAAGCCGGGGAGCCTTCCGCCTTCATACGGTGCCTCCTCCTGGACCCTTGGACCCCCAGGACCAGCTCCCTGGTTCTGGAACCAGGGTGAGCCACAGGGCAGACGGGGCATCAACACAGAGGCCTCATGGAGTGTCAAAGTCCAGGCCAGCCAGGCCGCAGGACCCCCTACGCCGTGTGCCTGAGGGTCAGCTGACGCAGCCTGTGGTCCCAGGGCCGGCTGGGGGCTCTGCGTGCTCAGGCCCCAGGGCCTATTTGGGGTCCAGGGACTCCTCCTGCCAACAGTCACTCTGCCCAGCCCGCTGGCCAGAAGTCCAGAGCCCAGGGAGGACAGAGTCCGAAAACAGCCCGAGCTGGAAGCTTTGACTCCCTTCCGCCTCCACGTTTTCTTAGAAAAAGGCATAAAGAGTATGCCAGGCTGGGTGTGGAGGGGAGGTTGGTCCCCTGGAAGCCACAGCCCAGACGACACTCGTGAGCTTGATTCTATGGGTAGGATGCCACAGGCCCCATTCCAGCGGCTAGGTCCCCTTTGGTGGATGGAGGCCCTGCCAGGGTGGTCCTGCTTGGTTGGAGACTTTCTCTCCTCCCGTCGTGCGGTCAGCTCTCCAGAGCAGGACTCCCAGGAGGGAACCCATCCGACCCCACCTAAGGCCCTGTGCACCCGGGCAGGGGCGGGAGCCTGGAGGAGGGAAGTGGAGGGCAGGAGGCCAGTTTGGGGCTCTAGGGATCTTGGGGTGAGGTGCGGGCTGGCCCTGGGACCCGGACAGCAGGATCAGCGCCAAGCCCCCCTCGGCCGTGGGGTCTGGAGGGCAATGGGCACTGTGGGGCACCCGGCTACAGAGCACCTGATTCTGCTCTCAGATGGGAGGAGCCCACCAGACTCAGCCCAGAGCATGGAGCACCCCGAGAGATACCTATACTTCACGCCATGTGACCAGGATTGGGGTGTGAGGAGCGCAGGGCGAGGAGCTGGGCCTCACCTGCTAACTCCAGGTGGGGCAGACCTGCCAGCACCCCCATCCGACCCCTAGCCCGGCTCTGAGCTGTGCTCGGCTCTGCCCCCAGTGATGCCACCCTGGGAGAGGCTCCCTGTGGGGACAGGCTCACCTGTGGCAGAGCTCCCCATAGCCATTGAGGGGCTGTAGCACGCCGCTGGATGACTCCCCCTGGGTCAGGAACAGCAGCACAGGCTTGTGCTGGGCCAGGCCCTGACGGGGACAGAGGTGACAGCTGTGGGCAGAGCCAGTAGGGGGAGGGGGTGGCCACCCCCTCCCTGAAGGACTTTTCCTGGTGAGGGGAGGACAGGATCCCTCCCAAACAGCCCTCTCACCACCGCCACTGCAGCTCTGGCACCTGGAGCTGGAGGTGCCACAGCCCCTCTTGGTCCGTGTGTGTACTGAGGTGGGGCCAGACATCTCGGCTCTGGGAGGAGAGCTTGTTCCAGGAAGAGAAGGACTTTCTCCCAGAGAAGGAGGAAGAGTGGCCCCAGCATCTCACCCCATCCTATTGGGACTGCCACGAGGTCAGCTGAGTCTCCTGGGTCTGGGCTGGTTGGGACTGACCTCACTGGATGGGGGGGCGGAGGCGGGGCTGGCACGCCAAGTGTCAGGGCATGTCCTGCTCACCACCTCTTACCTCCAGCCCCTCCAGCCCTGCCCAGAGGACTGGGACCTGGACTCAGTTTCCCTGCCATGCAGAACCCCTCCCACCTGCTCCCAGATATCAGAATGCTCCTTCTGTGACCAGTCGCCTGGTTCTGGGAAGAGCTGAGGGCCAGCCATGGACCCCAAGCCTCCAGCTCTGAGTCCACCCTGCTGGATGGCTCCCTCCCCTCCTTGGGGCTGCATACCCCCCTGTACCTCCTCCACCTCCCGCAGAGTGTGGTGGCCTCCAGGGTCCTTGACCATCATGTGTACGCGGGCTCCTGGGGGCAGGGGCAGAGTGAGCAATGAATGGCCTGGAACTCACACACACAGACAGCAGGAATCAGCACTGGGGCTCTCCCGGGCTCCTCTATAGCACCATTCACACAGAAAGTAAACCAGGATCTGAGAAAGGCTGCATGGACTGGTGCCTTTCCAGCAGAGGGTCGCTCCTGAGGGGCCCACCATGTTTGATGAATGACTGAATGAAGGAATGAGTGGATGAATGAATGGAAAGGAATGAATGAATGAGTGAGGGCATGAGCTGGCTTTGTCCTCTTTGGGGACTGGGGGCTCCAGGCTGGCCGGTCCTGGTCCTGCTCCCTCTCTTGGACCCATGCATCCCCATGCACAGCCAGCCTCTGGAGTTGCATATAGGAGGGTAGGTGACCTCAGGATGGTGCAAACCTCAGGGGAGAGCCCGAGGCTGGAGTGTGGATGGAGATGGGGTAGGGGGGGCTTGCCCAGACTGCACAGCCGGCAGTCAGAGCCACGGGAGCGTGGGTGCCCAAGGTTGAGGCCCTGCCTTCAGCCCCCACACTGGTTGTCAAAGGGAGCAGGTGAGGGATTGGGACTCCCTTGGGCCATCAGGGGTTGTCCATTAACCAGGACCGAGAGCAGCCACCTGTGGAGCTGACCATGCAGGAGCAACGAGACGTTTGCAAAGGCCGCCATCAATCATTAAACCCAGCGCGGATGCCTGCTTTTGATCTGTCTCTCTTTAGAACATTTTACTCTGGAAATGAAAACCCTGTCCACTCCTCCATAGTCTGTGCTCCAGAAAGAGGGCTGTTTCTGAGATTCTGAGGGGGGATTTCGGCCTCTGAATCCCTGTCCTGTCACATAGCAGAGGTGACACCTGGACACCCAGAGAGCTGCAGGCGGTTTAGGGGTTTGTGCTGAGACCAGAGGATTCCCTCCAGTGCCTCTCCCATGTGCTCAGAAACTGCTGTCCTCAAACTCTGGGAAACAGAGGATGGGGGCCCACGAGCACCCCAAAACCTACTTGAAGGAGGCAGCAGGCTGGTGGGGAGGTAGAGGCATGAGGGGCCACAAAGGGGGTAAGTGTCTCCTTGGGAGGGGCCAAGGTAGAGGGGCTGCCAGGCTTCTGGCAGGAGGCGAGAGGCCTTGGGGAAGGATAGAGCAAGGGGCCACACCCCACCCTCTGCCCCCTGTCTCTTACCAATGCGCTCCCCGATGTCCGCGGCCCGCTGCCCCCAGATGCCATTGACCCCGACCAGGAAGGAGTCCCCCGGCTCCAGGAGGTTGAACAGGGCGGCCTCCAGGGCACAATGCCCCGAGCCACTGATGGCCAGCGTGAGGGGGTTCCTGGTCTGGAACACATACTGGATGCCTTGCTTGATCTCGTCCATTATCTGGGGGCGGTGGGCATGTAGGTCAGATCTTGTCTCCCCACTGAGGCTCAGGGGACTGACCACCACCCTCTGATGACCTACCTGGTACATCTCCTTGTGCATGTGCCCGATCACCTGCAGTCCCCCGGCTGCCAGGACGCGTGGAGCCAGGTTCGCGGGGCCGGGCCCAAGCAGAAGCCGGTTGGGGATGGAGAGGGGCTTGCGCAGGGCCTCTGGGGGGGCCACCAGCAGCTGGTGGGAGGCCATGGTTCTTGCCCAACCTGCTGCCTGGGGCCCCAGGGCCACACTGGCCATTGCCAGCGCCCGGAGCATTTCCCGGCTGGCCCCGCGCTGGACGGTGGCACAAGTGTGGGCACAGGCAAGCGTCCAGAGGTGAGGTCTGATCGATGGGCTCCTGCTACAAGGCAGCCTTTTGTTGTTGGTCGTTGTTACCTGCCCCCTTATTGATGCTTAGCCTGCATGTCCGGGCCTGACAGCCGGGGTGTTGAACCCTCAGCGGGGGGAGGAGGAGCCTTCAGAGTCCAGTCAATGAAAAACAGAGCGTGGTGAGCTGTCCTCTGCCCTTCAGCCTCTCCCGGTTCCTCTCAGCTGTCCCAGGACAGATGCCCAGCCGAGTGCATCCTGCTGGGCTCAGGGGCCCCCAGAGATTTTCTTAACGGACCAGAGAGCAAATATTTCAGACTTGGCAGGACTTACAGGCTTGTTGCAACTACTCAACCCTGCTGTTGTAGGGCAAAAACAGCTACAATGGTGTGGCCGTGTGCCAATAAAACTTTATTTATAAAACAAGTGGTGGGCCAGATTTGGCCCATGGGCCATAGTTTGCTCCCCCTGGCTTAGCTTGTGCAGAGGCTCAATTTAGAAAATATATATGCCCTGTGGGTATAGACATACACCCACTCACACACACGCATGCACCAAGGACATGTTCATTCCTGATCCTTTTGGAAGTAAGTATTTCCCCTGCCCCTCCGTGCCCGAGGGCCCTGAGGTTTGGAGTTTGCAAGTGTAACCAAGGGGTGTTCGCCTGGGGAATCTTCTCCGCTTGTGGAGTTGACAGGTGGGTGTTCTGGGAAATCAGAACAGCCCCTGCACCCCTGGGGGACCAGGCAAAGGAGCCTGCGAGCCAATGCTCTCTGAGCACCTTGGAAACTTCTCAGCTGTTCTCCAGGGGGCCAGGTGGAGCATGTGGGGACTTCTGCTCTGTGTCAGGGATCCGACGTCCTGGGCCCTAGTAACCAGGGAAGCTTCAGGACTTCACACAGGAGCTTTCACGGCAACCAAAGAGGCAGTACCCCCGACCCCCTGCCACCCTACCTCCCCCAAGGGGACTTGCCCCCCAGCTCAGCCAAGCCCCTGCATTCAGCACTCATTGCTGGGCTGGGGCTGGTCTGGCATCCTGGGCGTCTGGGGACCCCACGAGCTTTAGCCAGATTGGATAGCTGTGGCCTGAGCACCTGAGGACCCTTATGGTCCTGCGGGGGTGGTGGCGGCGCTCTGTCCCTCCGATGAGTGAAGACACAGGCAAAGGGAACAAGCCTCACGTGCTGGGCAGAGAGCCCCCAGGGCAGCCCCGTGCCCCCATCATGGGCCCCGGGGAAGGTGACCAAGATGTGGGCCCTGGCACAGGCACGCCCAGATGCTCCTTAGCCTGGCCTTCCTGAGCACAGGGAGGCCCAGCGTGAGCAACGCCTCCCACTCCTCCTTCCTTCTTTCCTTCCTTCCTTCCTTCCCTCCTTCCTTCCTACTGTCCTTCCTACAATCGTTCCTTCCTACGATCCTTCCTTCCCTCCTCCCTTCCTTCCTTCCCTCTCTCCTCCCCCCTTCCCTCGTCCTCTTTCTCCCAACTCCCCCCTTCTTCCCCCACCCCTCTCCCTCCTTCCTCACTGAGCACTCACTCTGGACCAGACCAACCCCAAGGGCTGCAGCGTCAGCAGGAAGCAGAAGCCCTTGCAGGCAGCAGGCAGGCAGGGGAGCAGAGGAGGCCCAGGGTCTGCAACAGCCTCCTGGGAGCTGAGAGGAGAGGTCTAAGGGGCTGAGGAGGCAAGAACCCCAGGGGGCTGCCAAGAGAAGGTCGAGGGGGAGTGGAGGGCATTGGGGCTGAGCCTTGGAGAATGGAGCCGTTTGCCCGCCTCTGGTTCGAGTGGAATGGTGAGGACCTGCCAGGCCCAGGGAACCGCAGAGGCAGGGTCACAGAGGTGAGAGGTGTGCACAGCCCGAGGCCTACGTGAGGAGGGCCAGTGCAGACCCCCAAGAGTGGGCAGCCTCAGGCCCTGCCCTGCCGTGGCCTCTGGGGCCCGGTGCCGTCTGGGCAGCACTGGGCCTCTGGAGTCAACCCCGGTGGTGACTTGTGTTAAAAAGGAAACAACAGGCCTGAAATGGAGTCACTTGTGCTAAGCCCCGTGTCACCAAATCAAGATTGAGTACTTAACTTGGTTACAGTGTCAGCCTCTCCTGGGAACCGAGTCTTAAACCCAGGGGTCACCGGGGGTCGTCCGCCTGATAGACCCCTGCCGTCCCCTGAAGGAAGGTGACCTTGCCACAGGCAAACCACTCTTTGCTGGGAGAACTTCCTTGTTCTGCTCCCTTCTGCCTGTGCAAGGCTTTCGTTTCATCGAGCTCCTTACAGCTCCTTTCCACCTGCTGGATGGGATGCTGCCCGATTCACGACTCACGGCATAAAGCTGATGAAATCTTTAAAACTTACTCAGTCGAATTCTATTTTTTTAACACCTGCCACAGCCCCAGGGAACCCTTCCTCTGCCCCGAGCAGATCTCAGGCTCATGGCCTTGCCCTGGGCCGGGATGACGCAACCCACCCTTCCCAGGGGATGGCATCCCCTGTCCCCCACGGGCTCAGCTCTGGCCCTGGCCTCTTTGTCTGCAGCCCCACTGGCTGTGGGCTCCTTCCGTTGGGGGCCCACCGTCCCTCCCACCTGGGGAGCCACACACCTGGACCGGCTCTCATGGCCGCCCCCAGTGGCACTCCCCACTTCACTCCAACATAACCAGTGCTTCTGAGCCTTTGCATGTGTTGTTCCTCTGTCTCAAATGCTTGTCCTTTTTTTGCTCAACCCCTCTTGCTCTTCTCTCAGAGCCGTGGCCAGGCTTCTCATCCAGGGAGTCATGTCAACTGTCCGCACATCCTTGGATGCCCTTCCATCGTGCCACATGCTACATGGGTCGTGCTTTTGGTTTGCAGCCTGTGCCCACCTCGGGCGGGACCCACTTCATGCAGCGCCGAGTGCTGTGTGGCAGGTGGGAGGGCAGGAGAAGCCTGGGCCCTGACCGGTCCTGGCAGGTGGACCCAGGGAAGCCAGGTATGTGGGCTTTGTGCCCAGGCAGGATGGCGTCCTGTGTTAACCTGACATGGGGGGGATGTTGTAATCAGAGGGAGGCGTCTCCTCAGGCCACGAGCCGATTGGGAGCTGCAGAGCCACTGCTGACAGGGAACAGCAGGACACTTAAGCGACCTCTGTCTCCTAGGAGCCCTGGAGATAAGGGCCATCTGGCCGGGGGTGGGGGGGGTGGGGGGGGGCCAGGCAGCTCGCAGTGCCCACCTGGGAGCAGCGTCTCGTAGCTGTGTGAAGATCAGCCAGCCCACCCCAGCCGCCTTGCCAGGGCCCTGGGCCAGCAGCCATGGGGGACTGGGGGGCTGTGAGGTGCAGACCAGGACCTGGGACCCGCCCTGCTCCCCCACCAACAGGCAGTCCCCCCCATCGCCCACTCCCAGCTCCCTGCAGACCCTGGGACATCTTAGTTCTCTAGATGGACTCGGTGGTGGAACCCACGGGCCGCGGTCTGCCACACCACGCTGCAAACCAAGTCTGTTTTTTAAATTTAGCTTCTGGTTTTGTATAATTGATGTGAAAAGTGAAAACGATTGCTTTTGCCTGTGGGTCTGGAAGCTGCCGCCCTGCAGAGCGGTGTCGGTGTCGTGAAGGCAGGGTGTGTGCCGTTGGCTCCCCAGGAGTCTAGGCGAACAACGACCTCGGCTGCTGGGACCGCAGCCCTTCTCGCCCCTTCTGCCTGCTGCCCGCTCCTACTGGACGTCTCCACAGGTGCTCTGTTTTAAATCTATGGCTAAAGCCAGACTGTCGTGACTCCTGGGCTGGAGGAGGCCATGTTTTCACAGACAGGCTGCCAGGTGCCAGAAGGGGAGGGATCGGCCTGAATCCTGCAGCCTTTGACGAGGGCGGGACCCCTGGGGCTGCCTGGTGTAAAATGCAGCTCTGCCTCAGGGTGAGTCCAGGCCCAAGGCACCTGTACCGGTCACCGTCTGAGCAGCAAGAGTGGGTCTCTGCTGGGTGAGGGTCATGCAGAAGGTCCTACTGAGCGGCCCCTAATGAGACACTGTGTTCCTGGGTATTTGTTTAGCTGTGAGGTGAGAGGAACCACCAAGGACACCATCTGTTAACAACTGCTCCCGCTGAACTAGATGCTGCTTCCTTGGGGGACAGAGCGCCCCTGAGCTCAGGAAACAAAGTGTGAAATGCCTGCACTCGGCACAGCCAGGTGCAGAGGAGCAGCAGTGGAGAAGGTCCAGCCCAGCTCTGCTCGGTGGACGCAGGACTGAGCGGGTGCCACAACCGCTGTCACAGGGACAGCTCGTGCACTTGGCACTTGGTCACCTGAACGATGATGGACAGGAAATTTGGGGACAGCTACTTCTCCCCTGTGCGCCCCTGTTCCCCAGGCACCGAGCAGACAGCAGGCAGGAGGGAGCCTTGCCCCTGCCCCGTGGTATGACCAGAGACCCATCAGTCACAATAGTGCTCTCTAGGAACCAAGTGGCCAGGCAATACTGACCGTGCATTCCTGGAGCTGCCGATGGTCCCTGTGTACACACTGCCCCGTGGGTGGGATCTTTGGCCAGACTGTAGGTCCACCTGGCTCCTGTGGCCTGTGACCCTGACAGGTGGCTGGGCACTGACTTGGCAAATACCAAGAAGTGAAGAGAGACTTTTTTTTTTTGCTGAGGAAGATTCGCCCTGAGCTAACATCTGTTGACAATATTCCTTTATTTTGTGTGTGAGCTGCCCACACAGCATGGCCACTAACAGACAGTGGTGTAGGTCCACACTGGGAATCTGAACCCGGGCTGCAGAAGTGGAGTGCACCAAACTCAACCACTAGGCAACCAGGGTGGGCCCCGTGACACTTTTGAGTGGCTTTCGTAATTTCGTGTTTGGGGGTATTTTCACCGACATTTGGACTTAAAATATTGCTTTTAACACAGCAGATCTTTGGTCCAGAACCTCCCAGGGCACCCCACCCTCTGACACTGCAAAACCCAGTGGCCATTCGCATTTCCCATCCATGATTCCAACAAGCGACCTTGCTGGCTTCACAAACATGGAACAAAGAAATCCAGGTCTTACTGTGAGTCAGAATTGGATATATTTAGCACCAACTTTAACTTCGATTTAAAATTCAGCATGAGGATGGTCAAAACCCAGGACACAGATTTTCTGGAAAAGTTTGCGGGAACTTGGGTGGACTAAATGCACACGCCTG